TGAGATGGGCCGAGGAAATTAGCTTCGAAAAAATGGATTGAAGTGACGGGCTTGATGTTCGGTTTATAAAGGAAAGGAATCGGGCCAATGATTACGATGATTTAGTAGTTAATAAGCGTGTTACGAACTGACAGTGATCGACTTATAATATTTGATTTAATCAAAATAAAATTTTAATTTATTAATTTTTATGAAAATAGATTCCACTCAAGGAAAGTTCTCCAATATATATATATATATATATATTTTATGGTTTTCCAAGAAGCCCAGTACAAGGCCCATCCCATCTTCAAAAAGTGATTAGATGGCCGAATGCCACATAATTATTAATTAATATTAATGGGCCACCCACTAATCAATATTAGCTACCCATTTACTTATATAAAATCGCACACATATATAAATAACATTACATATATATATATATATATACATATACATATATGTATATGTGTGTGTATCGTGAAATGGGCTTTTATTATTAAAGTGCCAGCGCAATTAGTGCCGGAAATTGTTTTGTATCTTTTTGCATGGGTAACAAAGCCCAAGGAATACAACTATATATATATCTATATATATATACATATAAAGAAAATCACTGTTTTCTAAACTTTTTTTTACCGTAATATGACGTCAAAATGTTTAATAAAATTTAAAGTTTATTACTGTATGATATATATATATATATAAATATTTGTCATATCAGCTGCGTTAATTATCACGCATGACTAATCATAATTATTAAATGAATAATTAATGTGTAATCCCAAATTAAATTTTTACATAATTATTTCTTTTTAATTCACCATATACACTTTGATTAAATATTCCCATTTAATTTTAATTGTTGCTTTATTTATTTTATATAAAATTATATTATATTATATATATATAAATATTTATGAAATAAATTCTGGAATCCTGAGAGTCTGCAAGTCCAAGTAAATTGAGTTGTCGGAATGCCTACTCACTTTTCGGACCCACCAAGATCTCCACTTACCTGCTTCACTCTTCTATATATACATATATACATACATGCATGTAGATACATATCCCACATATATATATATATATAATATATATAATGTATACGAAATTAGTTTTACCCATTTTAATTATTATTTTCGGCGTTTACAGTTTACCAGTTTCCACCACCTTGAACTTCACTCCTCTTTCTATACATACATACATATATATTTATATATAAATAACAGAGCTCACGGAATATATTCCTTCTCCTTTTATTTATTTATTTTTAAATTATATATATATATATATACACACACGGAAATAAATAATCAGATGAGGGTGTGTGGGGGTGGGGGCCAGATCTCACATGAATGCCACGTGTCAAGATCTTGGTGGGAGACGGAGCTATCAGAATCAGTTGTGTTTTAAACTCACAATAATGGAAGCAGGACCACCTGCACTTCACTTGCACTTGCAGTTTATTATATTTATAAATAAAAGAAAAATATTTTAATTTTAATTTTAATTTTAATTTTTAGAAAATTATGGGAACTGCATGTGGGGTGGCGTGAGTTGTTGCTCGCGCCTCTATGCATGGATCTTTTTGGATAAATAATTTTATTATATATATAATATATATGTCTGTGTGTGTGTATATATATATATATATGTGTGTGTGTGTGTGTATATACAGGTTAGGATTTCCTTTCTTTTTTAAAGATATTAAAAAGTTTGGTAAACTGTAAATAAAAATAAATTACTGCACCTTGTTCAAACCTGCAACACAGGCTCTCTTTTGGTTGGTTTAAAGGTCTGTCTCTCTCTCTCTCTCCCTTTCTCTCTCTCTATATATATATGTGTGTGTGTGTGTGTATATATATTTACCTGTCGAAGCCCAGAACTTGAATTCATATAATATATCAGGATTACATATCTGATAATTTTAAATAATAATACCCTAAATTTATATGCATGTATACGTGTGTGTGTACATAAAGCATTAACTAGCCAGATCTATATGCATGTATACGTGTGTGTGTGTGTGTGTATATATGTATGTATGTATATATATATATATATAAAGCATTAACTAGTAGGGGAGAAAGACTCCAAAAAAAATTAAAAAAAGAACAAAAAGGCAATGGCAAATCCAAAGTTGCCAACATTGATTTTCTCATATTTAAATATTAATTCATCACCAATATCTTGCTAATTAAATAAAAGTTTCTCTTTTTTTTAAAGGGTGATACAAATTTCATTTATAATACTCTATGTGTGTGTGTGTATATATATATATATATATATGTATATATGTGTATATATTAGTTTCCTTGATTCTTGGATTTTTTCCTCTAAATTTTCTTCCTCGTACATATACATACATACCGAGTATGTATATTTAAATTTCTAAATTATAATAAAAATATATATATACTGTTCTCATCAGTATCTTATCGTTTGATTTTTTTTTTAATATGTTATAATTAATGTTTATATATTATATTTTACATAAAACTATACGATAAAAAAGAATTTTGATGCATGCATTGCAAATATAGAAAAAAAAAATCATTACAATTTTTTTTATCCCGTAAATATCATAAAGAATTTCGAAATCTAATTTATTTCAAGTTTTGAATATAATAAAAAAAATTATAAAAGTAAAAGTAATCTAATTAAATTATAACGCAATTCTCGTGTTTAATTATCACTGTTGAATTTAAATCAGAAAAAAATGAAAATCATGTTGAATTATTATATCTCTTCGGGCGACACGTTTGCTACAATAGCAAAGATTAAGGGTCGTGATCCCACGAGGGTGAGTTAACTTTAAAAACTCGTCTTTAATTCATATTACAGATTTATAATTATCTTTTTTGAAATTAGAATCGTTAGTAATTATCGATTAATTATATGATGATAATTTTTTTTCGATTATATACGTTATGTCTTATTTGATTGTTCGAGTTTATTTTATTTTTTTTTAAACGATGAAGTTTATTTTTCATTAATATTAATATATGTTATTTTAAAATCCTATGGAATATTCATAAATAGATTCCTTTTATCCCTACACTTCCAATCAATTATTGCACTTCAATGCATTTGACCTCTTCAGGCCCTAAAACATGTAATAATGCTAATATATTGTTTTTCAATTAATTGATTATATCTATCTATATATGTATATGTATATGTATATGTATATGTATATGTATATGTATATGCCCGTGTTTGAACAAAAAAAAAAAAAAGAGAAGTTGGGGGCTCAAAAAGAAAGAAACTTAATTAGAAAACAAAATGGTGTGCTATAAACATCACGTACATAGTGTTAATGAACATTTAATATTGGATGATACAAAATTATATATATATATATGTATATGTATGTGTATGTATGTGTATGTATGTATGTATGTATGTATACATATAAATGTAGACCAACAATTGGTTTGTCATAATTAATGAGGTTTCATAGTCATTTGGGACCTAAAGACAGTTGTGTCGTTAAGAATAATAATGAAATTCATTAATTTAATTTTTGAATGATATATCTACATACACACACACATATATATATATATACATACATTTTATTGAAAACAATAGAGAGAGTTAGCTGCTTGGTTGATTGAAGCAGGATACAATAGAGAGTATATATATATATATATGGGGTCCGAGATTGAGTGACCCAAATAAGATGCCCTGTCCCGTCACTACAATAGCTGAATTCTCATTGAGTTCGTGGACCCTCCTTACCTTATATATACAAACATATATATATATATATATATATCTATATCTACTTTGCACACCCATGTAAGTAAATACTAAATATATACTTATAGGTACATAAATTATGTATACAAAAAACTCACATACCTTTTCAAAAATAAAAAGAGAGATAATAAATTCCTACATAAGATTCAATTAAGAATGTAGGTGTTACATAACTTATAATTAAAATAAAAATATAACAGCGAATAATTTATAATATTTAATTTATTAATATATTAATAAAATTACGATAATTAAATTACAGAAAATTTTTACGAGATTGTTAGATTTTTTTAATTAAATTTATTATTTGATAAGTATATTATAAAATAATATAATTAATTTAATAATATATTAATAAAATTATCGTAATTAAATATCATATTATCATTACTTATGGTGCATCTTGCACTTGCAAAATAATATGATGTCACTTTTAATGTATTATGGACTTACAAAATTTTAATTTATTATATAGTTATAAAATAATAAATTTTAAATTTTTATTAAAAATTAATTTAATAATATGGTAATAAAATTATAGTAATATAATATTATATCATGATTACTTTCAGTTTATAATATACTTATAAAATAATGTTACGATTCATTATTTACTTATAAAAATTTGTGATGGATGAGAATTTTAATTAATATACCATTGTGTGATATTTAACAAATAATGGTGTGTTTATATATAGATAGATATAGATATAGATATAGATATATAGATATATATATATATGATAAAATGTGAAATTAAGGGGAGGAGTAAATCATGAGAGATAAAAAAAATTAGGGGCATGGCAGACAGGTGAGACTGAGAATCCTCATGAAGCTAAAAACCAATCAAAATTATTGACATCATCACTAAAATCTAAAATAATTAATAATAATAATAATTATTATTATTATTTTTATAGATATTCCCAAAAAAATTAATTTATATAATAATTTAATTATTTATTTATACAAACCAATCACCGAAAACCATAAAATAAATATAATAATAAATAAATAAATAAACAAAACAAAATAGCTTTTGCTTTATCTCTTAGCTTTGACCTTTCTTCTCTCTCCGCCAAATAGTCCACCACAAGTGCAGGCCCGGTCCACTTTTTTACTCTGTTTCTTCTCTCTCCCTCTGAGCTTGCCTTATTTCCTCTCTCTCTCTCTCTCTCTCTCTCTCTCTCCAGCTCAACGAGAAGGTATTAGGAAGGTATCGGGATTCAGGAGTAGCTCTCTTTCTACAGTGCTTCTCCTTTTTTTTTTTTTTTTTCATCCTTGGCAAAGCAAAGGCCCTCACTCATCCTCCATTTCTGATCCTGTTAGGTACTTTTCTCTCGCCCATATCTCTCGCTCTTACCCTTTTTTAGTCTCTGGGTTTTCCTTCTTCTTGGTGGGTTTGCATCTGTTTAACTCGTTCTCTTGCTTTTTGCATCTGGGTCCCTCTTGTTTTCCCGGATCTGTGTTGGGTTCTCTCACGAGGCATTTTGTCGTTTTTTTTTTCGCTTGATCAAGATCTAGTTTCTGTTTAATTGACAGTTTGATGCCCTTTGATCGCTTGATCGTGTTCGTGTTGTTCTTTGAGATTGGTTTCTTCTGATTTTTTTTTTACTAATTATTTAGGGGTTATCTGGAAACTGCATTATCTGAGTAGCTGATTTACTTGACTGAGAGTAGTCTGTTCTTAATCTGTAATTATTCTTGGTTGTTCATTGCGTCGTTCATTTCTCCCTTTTGTTGTGGTTTTATGTGCTTCTCTCAATTATTCTTCTTAATTCTTTTTTTTTTTCAAAAAGAGTGGATATTTAGTTGGTTAATCTATTTGACTAATCGAGTTCTGCTTGATATTCAGTGATTGACATCTATTTTGTTGGGGAGATTATGCTTTTGATTTAGTTGCTGGGCCTAGGTTTAATCTTCTGTTACTAAAAGTTTGCATTTTTGACACCTGTCTCATCTGTTGGGAGGCCTCTGGGGCTATTTGGGACAGTTAAATGATTGGTCGTGCTTGTATGGAACCATTTTTTGAGTCATTTGAAATGTGGGTTCCTGGTAACTACCTCCCTCATGTTGGAATATATGTGGAAATTCAATGTATTTTCAGGTTGTGTTTTCTTATTCAGGTTGCAGATATGCATCTAGCATCTGGTTATGGTTGTGCAATAGAAAGTTGTAACTTTGCACTGTTTGCATCTGGTGCACTTTAATGGTCTTACTTATAGCAAGTTCATGAGTAGTTGTGTAAATTCTTACTGGATTGTCATATTTGTCCGCAGTTGTTTGAGGAGAAAGTTCTGTTGGGGGGCTCCTAGAAAGATAAAATGCTGTTGGTATTGGATGCTGAGCAATGGAATTGTTCAATTTGATATATTTCTAATTTTCTCCCAGTCCTCTGATGGCCTCAAAAACCAGTGCTCGGACGTCTCCTGCACGGCAACAGAAGCCCTGTAACATTCAAAGAGTAGAGGTAGATGAGCTGAAGCCTTTACCTTCAAAGGTTTCAAAGACTGTCAAAGCTGAGCCTGTTGTTCCGGAACAGATACCCAGATTGGTAGAAAATGCACCAAAAAAGGTTGTAGGAGCTTCTGAAAGTAAAAAGTTACCAAATTCTTACAAAAAAGGGTCTGATGACTCTTCATTGAATAAATTTGACTCGACCTTTCTATTGGCTGCCCTTGAGCAAGCATCAAATGAAGTGGATTCTTCAGTTAAAGAGATTAGAGGTTCACAAGATATTTCTGTTGATCAAGAAAAGAAAACTTCAGAGTATGGAAGTGTGAAGAACAGTTCAGTGTCTGCCAAAGTTAGTGATGGAACCAGCAGCCTTGCCAAGACTAGTGGAAGTGCCAAGATTAGTGATCGTCTTGACTATGTTGAGAGTGGCAAGAGCAGCATGTGTAGAGGAAGCACTAGTAGTGACGTGAGTGATGAGAGCACTTGTAGCAGCTTTAGTAGCAGTATTAACAAACCTCATAAAGCCAATGACATAAGGTGGGAAGCCATCCAGGCTGTCAGAGCTAGAGATGGGGTTCTTGGTTTAAGTCACTTCAGGCTTCTGAAGAGGTTGGGCTGTGGGGATATTGGAAGTGTGTATCTCTCAGAGTTGAGTGGAACAAAATGTTACTTTGCAATGAAGGTAATGGATAAAGCTTCTTTAGCGAGCCGTAAGAAGCTGCTTCGGGCCCAGACAGAAAGAGAGATATTGCAGTCTTTGGATCATCCCTTCCTTCCAACACTCTACACCCACTTTGAGACAGAGAAGTTCTCCTGTTTGGTGATGGAATTCTGTCCTGGAGGAGACCTGCATACCCTTAGGCAAAGACAGCCAGGGAAGCATTTTCCTGAGCAGGCAGTGAAGTATGATAAACTTTTATATAATACGCGGTTCTCTTTATTTTATTTGTTGTGTGTGCTTGTCACTTCCTTTTATTAGATTAGGTTTTTCATAGTGAGTATTTCAATAATTAACCTGGTCGCCTGATTGCATTAGGAGGTCTACTTGTGGACTATTTTCTTTAGGTTCTAAAAATTCTTCCTTTAAACAAATAGTCTTCTAGGAACATCTGTTGCAAAATAATAATAATAACAACAAAAACAACAATAACAATAATAATCATAATTGTCAGCTACCCGGTGAAATGTCTGGGGAAATTCTATGGTAAATTTTTCGGTCATGTAAAAGTACTACATACAACTGGAATTTTCATACTCTAGTACATAATACATTCAAATCGTCTCATTGTGTGAGGGACTATCCATGGTACGTTCGCTACTTTTATGGTAAAAACCACATGTACCGTCATGAAATTCAGAACTAGTCATTTATTCATGTTATAAAGCATGGTGTAAGTCACAGGATTCTGGCAGAAGTAATAGCATCTTTTGTTTAATCATTCTAATGTTGCTAGTTGAGGCAAACTAATCAGTCATTTTTAATGCTTTTGAAATTTTTCAGATTGTAATTTAGTGCATATTGGATGGCCTTGTATTTGTTAAAGAATAAGTGCTTGTTTGGCTTGCTACCTGCAGGAATAATAAAGTGCATAATTCAAATTCACAATTCCTGAATTGGAATGCTAATGCAACTACCCTAGCATTTACCTTGTTAAAGCTAAATTGAAATATGCATGCAAGCATTGCAAATCATAAATCCCGATATAATGCTAGAGTTCCATTGGCCTTGCTTTTTATTCTTCTCGGAGGCAGCTTATTCTTCGTTTCTCAGATTCCATGATTTGTATATGTGAGTTTTAAGTTCGTAAGTTGTAAAGTATTATTTGATGAGACCTTGAGGCAAGTTAGTGGCATGAATTGTAGATATTGGTCTGTCTACTTTTGTTCTGGAATGATGTGGTGCTATCTTATTGTCTCTCTCTGTGAATTAATGGGCAGAGTTGGTATATTTACCATGCAGTCCATCAGCTTCAATTATGTGAAATTGAATGGGTTACTGAGCCTCTTAGAGCTGCATCTATCAAATCTCAAGTAGAATGTAGGGCTTTCCGATCTTCAAATTTGACCAAATTTCACTCAACTGGCAAATGTAATTGAATTGAATCTCTACCAAAACCTGGAATTCTGAATCTGGACCAAAGTATTAGTTTTCCCCGAGTTCTAAATATTAACACAATGAGAACTACTTAGTGTTGGTAACTAAAATTCTTTAGGTTGTTTGCAGAATGGATTACTGATTTCTGGTCTCAGACTTCATGAATTATCAAGACTTAAGCATGTGATAACTGACCTCATATTCTTAACTTTTCAATTCTAGCAACTTTGATACTTTGTTTGCTTATGATCTCTGCAATATACAACCCAAATACCCAAGCATGTCTGTCTCTGGAATTTGTA